ACCCACATCTTCTCCAGATCTTTAGAATCTGGGATAATACCAAATGACCTTAAAATTGCAAAAGTAGTCCCCATTTATAAATCCGGTGACCGTATTGCATTCAGCAATTACCGCCCTATTTCCGTTCTCCCATGTCTCTCAAAATTTTGGAGAAGTTGGTCCATAACAGAATGATGGAACATCTGCAGAACTGTAACATTCTGTATGATCACCAATATGGATTCAGGAAAAATCATTCCACAGAAATGGCTATACTTCAACTGGTTGATAAAGTCCATACTGCTTTCAATAATAACAAATATGCTCTAGGAATTTTTCTTGATTTATCTAAAGCTTTTGACACTGTAAATTATGACATCCTATTACAAAAGTTATCACACTATGGGTTTGCAGGGACTACCTATACGTGGTTTCATAATTATATCCATAACTGACAGCAATTTGTCACAGTTAATGGAAGATCATCAGAAAATGCCACTTTAACATTTGGGGTCCCTCAGGGATCTATACTAGGCCCCCTATTATTTATTATCTATATAAATGACTTGGCTGCAGCTCTGTCCTCCATGTTTCCAATCCTTTTTGCTGATGATACAAATTTATTTATTTCACATAATGATTTTTCTGTTCTTATGGAAAAGGCTAATCATGACTTACAAATATTTCAAAATGGTTCAAATTAAATAAATTATCGCTCACGTGGATGCATCGGCAATGCTGGCTGAAGGGTTTGACTGACCCGCGGCTGCATCACGTTTTTGTTTCTCAAACGCCTTTTGCAAATAAATCGCTGGTAGCATGTCATGTGAAACCCAGTGTCATCAGGAACATTGTCAAAGTCGATATCAATGCAATGTTTATAAGTTTCTGCATGGTCCTTTGTCTCACCCTGTAGAGAAAGCCACTTTCTAATACTAGTTCTGTAAGTTTCCCAACGTGTCCTTGTAAAGTCGAGAACGTCTTCTCTCTGGACAGATGATAGATGCATATAGCATCGTTTCATTCCTTTTTTATGCACTTTTGAAGGCTGTTTTCTTTTTTTCCTTTTCTTTTCTTCCTCTTCGCTTGTCTCGCTGCTCGATGCGCTCTTTGCCATGTTTGTGTATTTCTGATACTATGGCAACAAGACTCGGCTCCTATTGGTCCACATGACAAAAATCACTTCACCCCTCTGCATATTCGATTGCGTATGTGCAAGTATCACTACGCCGCAGAAAGGAAATAGTTAGACACTGAAACACTGATTACTAAAAATCGACTGGATGGCATGAGTAGATATTTTTTTTTCGTACTTACTATCAACAGAGCTATTTTATGAATCACAGTTTATGTTGCCCCACTGAAATGGAATGAGATTCACTTTCTAGGCACTTTTTCCTCTGTCCCAATACAGCCTACATGTTCCAAAGTTTCGTACTTCTCTGTGTCAATTTTCTATCAGGTACAGGGGGGCCCAGCTATGGAATAGCTATATAGGAATTTCATCAAAGTCTACTTCGGTAAATCATTTCAAACACAAGTTTAGAAACCATCTGATGAATTGAATTCAACATTTTTTTTCCTCTCACCCCACATGCGCGCACACACACACACACTTTATTTTATTTATTCTTTCTTTTTATCTCATATGCATTGTTGCATTACTTATGTTGCTATTTATGAGTATTTTGTTTTTTTAAACTTTTCTTATCAAATTTAATTCTCTTCGTTTATTTAAGTTGTATATTATGAGTACTCTATGAGTTGAGATTAACCTTACAACCCCACAGGGTTTTCTAAATCTCACCTGCACAAAACGTTCATTTTATTGTTTTCAAATGTGTTGTTCTTTTAAATGTGCAAATAAATAAATAAATAAATAAATAAATAAAAAGATCAGACTTTTCTGAGGAAATATGTCACTTTCGTTCTCCTTTTGGCTTTTTCTTAAGCCTCAGTGAAACTCCTCATGACAAATCCTCCTTTCTGGTGGAGTTTTTCAGAAAGAAAATCCATGTATGTATTACTAGATGAATCTGCTCGGTACCACCTTTCAGAGCTCATAAAAGAATGACCTAAAACTCACAGGTCAACAATAGACAGACACACTCGTGCCCACCGCTCGCCTTGTTATCGCAACAATTATCCAGACCTCCTTATCACCAGGCATTCAGCCTAAAAAGGAACACATCACAGCCCAAGCCAGGCTGTCTGCAGACCAGTGTCCACCCAACTACTGGCCTATGCTCCTTCGCACCCAGTCTAGAAAGCTTCAGATAAATCGGTCTCCCCCTAAACAACTGGCCTATGCCGCTTCACACCCAATCTAACTAGCTCCACACAACTAGTGGCCTGTGCCTGTGCTGCTTTGCACCCAGTCTAACTAGCTTTACGCAACTACTGGCCTGTGCCACTTAGTACCTAGTCTAACTAGCTCCGCACAACTACTGGCCTGTGCCACTTAGTACCTAGTCTAGCTAGTTTCACACACTACTGGCCTGTGCTGCTCCGCACCCAGTCTAGCTAGTTCCACACAACTACTGGCCTTGTGCTTCTCCGCACCCAGTCTAACTAGCTCCACGTATAACGGTTTCACACAACCCACTGCAGTTTCCCCCATATTCAGCTGATATATATACAATTTTAATTGGCTTCCTTTCCCAAATTTAGCACATTTCGATCAGCTGACTGCATGCATGCAGCTTTTTCAGACTGTCTTCATTCCCACTGTCTCCTCTTATTTCTATTCTAGGTTCTTTGATTTGAAGAGGACAGAGAACAGTAGTCTGCACCACTTCACAGGGAAAAGAACTCTCAACCAAATTTTAGGAAATCTCCTACCTTTTTCTTTTTGTGTGCACAGAGTGTCCTTATCCCATGTGAAGTTCGCAGAGTCACAGTCCCTTGTCCCCCGATACGAATTCTGCCTAAGGCTCGCCATTATGTTGTGGAAAATCCAGCATAAACTTAGTAAAACAATGCACAGGAGACAGGATGAGATCTGAAGAACAGTCTGGGCGTCTTTTGTACAGATGTAGAAATCAGTACAGATGACAAACAGAGTCTTGACCAAGACCAAGGGAAGCCTCCTTAGCTTTTCTTCTAATCCCTTTTATGCTGTTAGGTGTGTGTGTGTGTGTGTGTGTGTGTATGTGTGTGTGTGTGTGCGCGTGTGTGAGTGTGTCTGTGTGTCTGTGTGCATGAGTATTCTGTCATCATGGGTATGTCATATCAATTCTCCAGACGGCTACCCATGATGATATGTCGTACTTTTCTGACCCTTAACACTTTGTTTAGACTCAGCTTAACTCTCGAAGAGATTAAATGTTCCAGAAGACAGAGAGTGCGGGCGCCGAAAGCCACGTGTGTTTCCTTGATAAATCCCAATCAGCTTGGAATTCAGCGCAGATGTCGGAGTGACTGGGCCCGCCCCCGTTACGCCCTCCTATAAATATGCAGATTTATTTAAATAGGGTCCCCCTGTCCTCGCATGCAGACAAAATGACAAGAAAAACTACATTTACGGCGTGCGAGGTGGAGGTGCTGGTGGCGGAGGTGGAGGAGCGACAGCGTGTTTTGTTTGGCAGCCTGTCCAGTGGCGTCAGTGCAAAACGAAAACGCTTGGAGTGGGAGAAAGTTTGCGAGAGGGTGAACACGTTGGGTTCCGGGACACGCACCCCCGTGGAGATTAAAAAAAAAAGTGGTCGGACCTCAAGGTGGAGGTCAAGCGGCGTACCGCTGCCCTCTGGAGGAGTACCGGCCAGACAGGTGGGGTTCCAGGGGAGGAGACCCTCACGCCGTTTGAGCAGCGGGTGGTGGCGATTATTATTATAGGGTAAGTGGCGTGTCACACAAATGTCCACATGCTTTGCTATCCCACTGAGCAAAAGACGTATATTAGACGTCTAGTCTAAGTTAATACATCATTTCAACGTCAGGATTCAGTCTATTTTTAGACGTGATTTATACTTCGCCCTTAACTTCATTTTTCGATAACTTTTTATGCAATAAACAACTGTAATGTGCATAACTGACCTCTAAAAACTGGATTCCATTACCTATGATACCATGGAGAGAGACGTACACGCAACAGATACACAGAAGCAGGAATTGAAATGAACCAATATTTTTATTGTGTCACAGAAATCAATGTGTCAGCCGTGTCGCTGGCTTGCGGAACCCTGGCCCGCGGCAGCCCGTCCCCGGGCTCGGAGTCGTCGGCCAGGACCAGCGGCATTCGGGCCACCCTGGCCCCCGGCCCCCGTACCAGCACCAGCACCAGCACCAGCATCAGCACCAGCGCGCCGACAAGCGGTGGTGCGTCCACCAGCCGCGGCGCTTCCGCTGGACCACCCGGACGCAGTGGAAGGGTCCTCACGGAGGCGGTCCTGCATCGCAGGAAGAAATCATCAGGGGGATCGCGGGGATCAACGAGCGGCTGGACCGGCTCGTAAATGTCCTCGAGCGTCTGGTGGCGAAAATAAATTAATTTGGCTCATTGAACTGTGTATTCACTTCTTAACCATTCACACTGTGGCGATGAGATTCTCCCGCGCGAGGACGGCGGCCCGGCAGGGATCAGCTCGCATCCCTCCGTCTGCTGCTGGTTCGTCATGTGGGGCGACGTGCTGCTCAGCCACGGGGATGCGGTGCACGCTTGTCACATAGTGAGTCACCAAACACTGCTACACAGCGTTGCCAAAGTGCCGTCAACGCAAGTATCGGCTCAACAGCAACTTCTACACCACCTCCTCACTTTGCGTGGATTTGCGCTGGAACCGACGCTCGTGATGCGATGATAAATCTGGACGTGTGTGCCGATCTTGGCGAACGCAAGGTTTTCTGGTGCCGCCAGCATTGATACATAAGGCCCCTGGTCCCTGCAAGACAACCTTGCTTACAACCTCAGAGTCATGAGGCTGCATGAGCAGGTCAACCTAGATTATTTGTAGCTCCTTACTAATAGATAATGATTCTATATTTCTTTACATAAATGTATGAAGAAATTCTACTACAGCGTTTGTCATTTGTTGAACTTAAATTTGAAGTTGAGTTTGTAGTGTTTGGTAATCTTGAGTTTGTGGAGTTATTTGAACTTGAGTTTGTGGTGTTTGTTGAATGTGAGTTTGTGGTGTTTGTTGAATGTGAGTTTGTGGTGTTTTTTGAACATGAGTTTGTGGTGTTTGTTGAACTTGAGTTTGTGTGTTTGTTGATCTTGAGTTTGTGGAGTTATTTGAACATGAGTTTGTGACAGTTGATGAACTTGAATATATGGTGTTTGTTGAACTTGAGTGTGTGACAGTTGTTGAACTAAAATATATGGTGTTTGTTGAACTTTAAGTTTTGTCATTTGTTGAATTTGAGTTTGTGGCAATTGTTGAACTTGAATTACGGGTGTTTGCTGAACTTGAAGTTGTGGCATTCATTGAACTTGAGTTTGTTTAAAATTGAGTTTGTGGCGTTTTTTGAACTTGAGTTTGTGGCGTTTGTTGAACTTGTGTTTCTGGTGTTTGTTGAACTTTTGTTTCTGGTGTTTGATGAACTTGACTTTGTTGCGTTTGTTGAACTTGAGTTTGTGGTGTTTTTTGATCGTTAGTTTGTGGTGTTTGTTTAATTTGAAGTTGTGGCATTGTTCAAACTTGAGTTTGTGGTGTTTGTTGAACTTGTGTTTCTGGTGTTTGTTGAACTTGATTTTGTTGCGTTTGTTGAACTTGAGTTAGTGGTGTTTGTTGACCATGAGTTTGTGGTGATTGTTTAATTTGAAGTTGTGGCATAATTTGAACTTTAGTTTGTGGAGTTTGTTGGACTTGAGTTCTTCGATATTTATGAACTTGAGTTTGTGGTGTTTTTTTAACTTGAGTTTGTAGTTTTTGTTATACTTGAGTTTGTGGCAATTGTTGCACTTGAGTTTGTGGTAATTTTTGAACTTGAGTTTGTGGCAGTTGTTGAACTTGAATATATGGTGTTTGTTGAACTTGAATATGTGGTGTTTGTTGAACTTTTGGTATTTTGTTGAACTTGGTTTTTTTGTGTTTATTGAACTTGAGTTTGTGGCATTTGTTGAACTTGAGTTTGTGGCGTTTTTTTAAACTTGAGTTTGTGGTGTTTGTTTGATTTGATATTGTTGCATTCGTTGAACTTCGTTTTTTTGTGTTTATTGAACTTGAGTTTGTGGCATTGTTTAACTTCCGCTAGTAGTGGGGCGGATAATAGCATATTACAGGAGAATTGTTCACTTGCGGATAAAAGCACCAATATTGGCACACATACGCCTTAGGAGTTGCTCTTTTGATATTTCCGTCTGGCCAAATGAAAATTCAAGATGGCGGCCATTTTTCAAGATGGCCACCATTGAAAATACAGTAATATTGCATTTTGCAATAAAATCCCATAGACTTGTCCTATTTGGATGATCTTGGTGTCAAATCATACATTTTCCACTATGCAGAATCCAAATTTGGACCCATGGACTTACTTACTGGCTTCCTTGTACCATATTTCAGTCCCGGAATCCTAATATTCTGGTATTTACGAGGTTTACATTATGTCCGACTTGGGTAAAATGGTTGGTAACCTATATCTTAGTGTTGTTAGAGGTTTAGTGTGTGTGTGTGTGTGTGTGTGTGTGTGTGTGTGTGTGTGTGAGAGAGAGAGAGAGAGAAAGAGAGGGAGCTGTTCAGCTTTCTGGCTGATCAGATAGAATGTGTGGCCTCACCAAATGTGGTCATTGTGACCAAAGAAGATGATGTTATCAGCAACAGTACGATTAATCTGGCTGGGGTGGCACCATGCAGTCATGAAGAAGCTGACACACGGATCTTTGTGCACGCCAGGCATGCCACAGAAGCAGGCAGCAAGGTCATCATGGTCAAAGCCAACGACACAGATGTTGTTGTCATCGCAGTGAGTGTTCTGCAGGCACTTCAGAACCTGGGTCTGCAGCAGTTGTGGGTTGCCTTGTGCCAAAGACAGAACCTGAAGTGGATTCCTGTTCATGACCTGTGTGGCATTCTTGCAGAAAAGAGCAAAGGGATGCTCTTCTTCCATGCATTCACTGGTTGCGATGTTGTCTCAGCATTCTGTGGCAAAGAGAAGAAGTCTGCTTGGCAAACCTGGAATGTTTGTGATGAGGCTTCCAGTGTCTTCAGCAAACTCAGCCATTACCCACCTGTATTGGATGATGAAGACCTGAAAACCCTGGAGAAGTTTGTGGTTATGTTGTACGACAGATCCAGCACAGCAGAGGCCGTACGAAGCCATTCCTCCAACTCGATAAGCACTTAAGCAACATGTCATGCGGGCATCCTACCAAGCGGGCTGCATCTGGAGTCAGTCAATAGTATGTCAGCCAGAAACACATAGTCCTGCCAACTGGGGCTGGACCAAGAAAGGAGATCTGTGGCAGATTGTTTGGACAGAGCTCCCACCCATTGCAGAGCGTTGCCAGCAGCTGACCAAGTGTGGATGCAAGTCGGAATGCTGCGGTCGATGCAAATGCTACTGCTTTGGTCTGACCTGCACGGCACTGTGCAGCTGCAGGTGTGAGGTTTAGAAACGCTGTAGTAAAAGCCTACTCATCCAAACAGCCTACATGTAAAAAAAAAAAAAAAACTGCCTCGGTGGGATCACCACCTTATCGTGGTGGGGCAGTTTGTGTGTCTCCATGACCCCTAGAGCTTTGCCGGCTGGAGTATTGTACTCCTGGCAGGGTCACCCACGCCAAACAGCTCAAAGGATAGAGACCAGACAAAGAGTGATCCCATGGTGCTACCATCCATTTTAGATGAAATTCAAATTTATCAGAATATTAGGATTCTGGGACTGATATGTGCAGTGAGGACACACCCTTGCCCATGCACTTGCTCTCCTTGCAACCCCCCCCCCCCCCCCCCCCACACACACACACACACATGTGCAGCACACACTAGACCTCTAACAACACTAAGATATAGGTTACCAACCATTTTACTCGAGCCTCACATGATGTAGACCTAATTAGGATCAGAATATAGGATTCCGGGACTGAAATATGGTACACGGAAGCCAGTAAGTAAGTCCATGGGTCCAAATTTGGATTCTGCATAGTGGAAAATGTATGATATGACACCGAGTTCATCCAAATAGGACAAGTCTATGGAATTTTATTGCAAAATGCAATATTACTGTATTTTCATTGGTGGCCATCTTGAAAAATGGCCGCCATCTTGAATTTTCATTTGGCCAGACAGAAATATCAAAAGAGCAACTTCTCAGGAGTACGTGTGCCAATTTTGGTGCTTTTATCGGCAAGTGAACGTTTATTACAGTTATCTGCCCAGCTATAGGGGAGTTTGTTGAACTTGAGTTTGTGACAATTATTGAAATTGAGTTTGTGGCATTCGTAGAACTTGAAGTTCTCTTATTTGCTGAAATTTGTGGAAATTGTTGAACTTGAGTTTTTGGTGAATGCTTAACTTGAGTTTTGTCATTTGTAGAGCTTGAGTTTGTGGTGTTTGTTGAACTTGAAGTTCTCCTATTTTTCTTACTTGAGTATGTGGAAATTGTTGAACTTGAGTTTATGGTGTTCTTTAAACTTCGAGTTTTGGCATTTGTAGAGCTTGAGTTTGTGGTGTTTGTTGAACTTGAGTTTGTGGCAATTGTTGAACCTGAGTTTGTGGCGTTTTATGAACTTGAAGTTGTGGCATTTATTGAAAATGAGTTTGTGGTGGTGTTAAACTTGAGTTTGTGGTGTTTGATGAAATTGAGTTTGTGCGGTTTTTGAACTTCAGTTAGGGTTGGTTTTTGAACTCGAGTTCATGGTGTTTGTTAAACTGGAGTTCTTGGCAATTTATAAACTTATGTTTGTGGCATTTTTTGAACTTGAGTGTCTGGCGTTTGTTGAACTTGAGTCTGTGGTGTTTGTTGATCTTGAAGTTCTCTGTTGATCTTGAGCATGTAAAAAATTGTTGAACTTGAGTTTGTGGTGTTTGTTAAACCTAAAGTTTTAGCATTTGTAGAGTTCGAGTTTGTTGCGTTTTTTCAAATTTAAGTTTTTGCATTTTTAGAACTTGAATTTGTGTCGGATCAGCTTGAGTTTGTGGTTTTTTGTTCAACTTAAGTTTGTGGTTATTGTTGAACTTGAGTTTGTGGCGTTGGTTGAACTTGAGTTTGTGGTGTTTGTTGAACTTGAGTTTCTGACAATTGTTGAACTTTAATATGTGTATTTTGTTGCGCTTGAAGTTTTGGCATTTGTTTACCTGGATTTTTGTGTTCATTAATTTAAGTTTGTGGCAATTGTTGAATTTAAGTTTATGGAGCTATTTGACCTCTAGTTTGTGGTGTTTGTTGAACTTGATGTTGTGGCGTTGATTGCACTTGAAGTTGCGGCATTATTTGAACTTGAAGTTGATGCTTTGTTGAACTAAAAGTTGCGGCATAATTTAAACTTAATTTTGTGGATTATTTTGAACTTGAGTTTGTGGCATTTGTTAAACTTGAGTTTGGGGCATTTGTTGAACTTGAGTTTGTGGAGTTTGTTGAACTTGAGTTCTTGGAAATTTATGAACTTCAGTTTGTGGCATTTGTTGAGTTCGAGTTTGTGGCGTTTTTTGAAATTTAAGTTTTTGCATTTTTAGAACTTGTGTTTGTTGTTTTAGTTGATGTTGTGGCGTTTGTTGAACTTGAGTTTGTGGCGTTTGTTGAGCTTGAGTTTGTTGAATGTTTTGAACTCAAAGTTTTGGCAGTTGTTGAACTTGACTGTGGTTTTTGTTAAACTTGAAGTTTTTGGCATTTGTAGAACTTGTGTTTGTTGTTTTTGTTAAAGTTGAAGTGTAGTTTGTTGAACTTGAGTTTGTGGTGTTTGTTGAACTCACGTTTGTGGTTTTTGGTTGAGCTTAAGTTTTAGGCGTTTGTTAAGCTTGAGTTTTTTGCGTTTTTTAAACTTGCAGTTCTTGCAATGCCTCAGCGGCCGGACACCACCTCCCTGACTTCCCACCCCTCCCGGGCCGTGACCACGAACACACATACCCCTAGACAAAAGGCACCATCCATGGCCTCCAGGACCTTGAGGACAGTTAACCTGCTCTGATCTTACCTCTTTTTGTGAATGTTAGTAGAAACAGAACAGAAGCTCACAGAGTTCACAGAGCTTGCCCTGCACGGCCCAACTCACGGTAAGAGGTACATATGACCCCAATCCCACCAAGAGCACTCTAACTAAACTACTACAAGACACCCTAGACATTACAGGTGCAGAGCTCATGCGCAGCAGAGTGTAAGAGGAACTCTGACAAGAAATGAGAGACGAGATGCGCAGTGCCATGAGAGATGAGGTGCAGGGGGCCGTCGGAGGCTCCACCGTCAACTATATGGACAACACGGGTGCCAGTGAAGCCATCACCCATCTCACTGCCACCATGGAGGAACAGCAACGTATGAAGGATGAAAACAGGGTAAGTGCACCTCTCAACCATCACTTCACACGCTCAAAAGCCAGGTTACCTCCAGCATACTCAGACGCAACCACAGCATAAACCATTCACCGTTAGCGATACACAAACCATCCGTGATAAGCTGCCCCCCATCACTGAGGGAGGCAACTTATGGCTGGACAAACTGGACTGCCTGCCTAAAGGCCAAGATATAGCCCTCAGCGATTTTAGAGCTATTCTCATGCTCTGTGTCACCCCTAGCGAACTCAGGGACATTGAAACCAGTGCAGGCACCATTTCCTGCAAGAATGACAGGCAACTAGTCACGGTAATTAGGGCTATGCATAATGAACTCCATTCCAAATACCCGCTCCACAATGGCCCAATGATTCCCAAGTTCTCATGGGACAAAAATCTGTCTCCTAGCGAGTATCTAGCCCAGTGCAAGAAGCAATGGTCCAAACACACAGGGGAACACCCCAGTAAGGGTCAGGAACATTGGTTTAGAGATGCAGTCATTAAAGGTGTTCCAGCAGACGTTAGCAAAGTCTTAGACTACAGCCCAGCCCTCCCGGGCTCAACCTGCCTGGTGTGGGAACAACATCTCAAACACCACCTACAGAGGGCTAAAGACAGAACCAACAAAGAAGGTGATGATGACAAAGACATGCAGAGACAACTTATGAAGCTGCAGCTCACCCAGGCTCAGAGAAGTGCGACTGAGGGTAAGAAAGATCGTAAGACAGATAAAATTATGGTTGTCGCCTTCTCTAACGACCCACAGAATTCACCTGACATGTACCCAGTGCCCCAGAGGGCAGATTATTCTCCCTATTCTCCTTCCGCGGATAAATCTCAAGGTTCGAGGGGCGGAGGACGAGAAGTGAGGTCTGGTGGACCCTACAGGGGAGGCTTCCAGGGCAGCAGGGGATTCCATAACAACGGCCCTCCCCGCCAGGGCGGTTATAGGAATCAGGCACAATCAGCACCCATACGCAACAATGCCTGCCACTCCTGCGTTATGAATGGACACTGGTGGCGTGACTGTCCAAACTATCCACCGAACCCTCCACAGCAATGCAGCTACCCGATGCGGTATGGCCCGTGGACCACCTCCACATAGACAGAGAGGATTACCCCAACCGCAGCAGCAGGCTCACCAGTTTCCAGTCACAGTCACGGCCTGGGACCAGACCTGGGAGGCTCAGGAGGCCTACCAGTACCCTCAGTGACATGCCCCACAGAGCAATCGGACAGCGGGGTAACGGCAGAACCCATGCTGTCCATGACGGTCCAGGACCACGCTCTGCCCTTCCTCGTTGACACAGAGGCTACCAGATCTACGGTTAATCAGGACATTGGGCCTCTGGGGTAACGCACTTTTTGGAGACAATCGGAGCAAGGTGAGAATAGTCCGGGTGACGCGTTCAGCACAACGGATGACTCGATGCAGCCTTTCTGTCCTGAGAGCTGCAGCTGCCGTACCAGGCAGTGATGCTCGCAGAAAGCACAGACCCCACTGTGGCAGTGTAGAAAGTTTGCCAATTTGAATTTACAAATGTAAATTCACATGCATATATATTATATTATATATGCATATATTTACATGCATTTGTTTAAAGTTTATATGACTTAATCTTTTTGGTTTACGAACTTTCACCACATAACCAGCGGTGGATAACGGAGCGTTTTTTTTTTTTTGAACACATGCACGAGTGTCACACGTGCATGTTTTTTCTGATTCTCACCTGTCGCCGCCACGCTCTGATGGTGCAAAGCCACTTTTTTCTTTGCCTCCACCTTTAGATCAGACCACTTCTTCTTGATTTCTGCACAGTGTTGTTTTCGTCTACGTCATCGTCAACGAAAACAAAACTCCACGTGTTTGCGCGCGCGTGCGTGTGTGTCTGTGTGTTGGAGGAGCACAGCAGGCTGATGAGAGCTGTCAGAGCAGACAGAAGCTGCTCCTATATGTTTAGCGTTTAACTGACTGAGTTTTGCAACTCTGGTCGTCATTTTCGTCTCCTCCCATCAACGTAAACGCACTTTCGTCTCGTCACATTTTAGTCATCTCCGACTTATGTTTAGCTCGTCAACTTTACGTCTTCGTCGTGGAAGAAAAGGGAAATATTTCCGTCAACAAAAACAACCAGTGTTGTTCTCGTTGATGAAAATATTTCCCTTTTTTTGACGCTGGTGTTGACGAAAATATTTGACGAAATATGACGAAAACAATACTTTTTCGGCAACGCTGCGCTCAGTGCCAGCCGCAATTGCCACCACAGCAACGGCGTTTTTATTGGTGATGCCACTCGAATGGCCGCCGAATAAGGTCTCCCGTCTCGCCGCCACCTCATTTACAAGAACCTCCACCTCGATCTCTGAAAAGTTTCTTTTTCTACGACTTGCTGATGCCATGGTTAAGCGTGAAATGCCGTGGATCCACCAGGCTTATTTACATGCAAATCACATTCATGAGGTAATTTGCATGACCATACATGGTGAATTTTGGGTGTGGAGAGGGCGGGGAAGAATCAAATCCCTGCTGAGCAACTTTCCAGCTGGTCTGTGATTTATAAAGGGAAAGTGCGTGCAGGTGTGCGTAGGCAGGGTTTTATAAATCAGATTTTTTTTTTGCCTACGCACTTTTCAGCTTTTCAACTTACGTACACTTTTAGTATGGATCCTACGCCAGGTTTTATAAATGAGGCCCCAGATCCTCTGCTGTAAGCAGGGCCTCACTGTCACGTTCCCAGATGGGACAGAAGTCCAGTGTGCACAAGAGATAGGGGACACATACCAGTACCTTCTCAGAGACACTGAACCTAGATTTGCAGACATTTTCTGGGCCCTTTTGGAGCCATCACAGACTGGGCTCTAGACATGTTATCTCCATTGGAAACCCTGGATCCTTCGCGTCCACCCCTACGTGGCTCCACCTGACCCCCTCCATCTGACTCTGTTCTATGACCGGGAGGGTAGTGAATGTTACCTAGAGGAATTCCAAAACCAGCTAGAAGGTAAGACCTGGCAGCTACATTCTGGTGACATTTTAGTGGGATAACAGGGGGTTGCGGCAATGGTTAATCTCACAAGAGAGCAACAGTCCTGGTATAACATGTCTGAAACTGCTTTCCCCCACATTTCACTGGCTCTCCATCCAGGACACGAGGCTCGTGAGTTGGGCCCCATGGCCAAACAGCAGTCTCTGCCTCAGACTGGTCTTCCTCCGGCCTGCCTGGCGTGCTCCGCTCTTCGTCCCTGAAAATGTTCAGAATTGTGAGTACTACCAATGACTCTGCTTTATGCACACATGAACTCATACCTAGAGACCATGGTAGAAAAAAATCAGATCATCCAAAAGCACAGGAGCTTGTCTCCTCCCTCCCAGCCTCATTGTGGGCCGAGGGTCCAACCGATGTAGGACTGATTAACTGTAAACCTATCTCATTCCGGCTGAATACTGACTCCCCAGTCTGGGTGACACAGTACCCTCACAAAAGACTTGGTGTCCTCAAACCCTCCGACTCCTGCTGGAACACACCTATTCTACCGATTGAAAAGAAGGGCACTAGTAAGTACCATATGGCCCATGACCTCAGGGCCATCAATCAAGTCTTGGGGACCAGTACGGACCCGGTGCCGAACCCATATGTTGCCCTGAACAGTCTGTCCCCCGAACAAGCATGGTTCACATGTATTGATCTTGCTAATGCTTTTTCTGTCTCCCTTCGCATGAGAACATTCGGGACATTTTCTCTTTCACCTACCAACGTCGCAGACTCCATTACACCCGCCTCCCACAGGGATTCGCCCTCTCCCCTGAAAGAATGTTTGGCTGACCTGCAGCTGCCTGATGGCACCATAGTGATTCAATTCATCGATGACCTGCTCATTGCATCCACCACAGCTGAGTTCTGCCTGCAGGCCACACAGGCCCTGCTCCTACTCCTGGCCCATCACGGGTTCAAGGTCAGTCAATCTAAGTTGCAAATCGCACGGAAACCAGTCTCTTTTCTCGATAGACCACTGTCACAAAAAGGGGCCTCATTGTCCTCCGCTCGCCGCACATCCATTCTCAACACACCAAGCCTGACTCAGTCAAAGCTATGCTGTCTTTTCTCGGTTTGGTGGGTTACAGCAGGCTGTACATACCTGATTTTTCCACTCTCAAGGCTCCACTGAGAACCATGGTCACCTCCGCAGGTATGAGAAATCTGAATGCGAAACTGACATGGTCCTGCGACTCGGAAGAAGCTTTTATCAAACTCAAACAAGAACTCGCAGCATCCGCTGAATTGGCCCTCCTTGACTACACTTGCCCGTTCTTTTTGGATGTTTCTGAAAAAGAATCTGTTGCTAACGGTATTCTGTTCCAGAAAAAAAGGGGGCGATAGAACGGTACTGATGTATCTCAGTGTCATCCTTGACTCCACAGAAAAACGCCAACCAACGTGCACAAGACATGCTGCAGGTGTTGCCAAACTCATCAACAAGAGCACACACATAGTTATGGGACACACACTTCACATCTTGACATCACACAGCATTGTAGCTTATGTGAACTTACAGACTTTTACGATGCCCTCCACAAGACAGCAAAAACTCGCTCGCATTCTCGAAGCCCCAAGCTTGCTATTTACCCAAGAAGATGTTAACATGTCGGAGAGTTTGAAGGAAGGTGTGTTGCATGAATGTGCCCACAGGGTTGAAAAAAAAGAAAAAGCAAGAGAAGACCTCTAGTCGGAGCCCATCCCAGGGGTCAGAAACCTAAACACAGATGGATGCTGCTACAGAGATGAGAAGGAGGGACTCAGAGCAGGATTCTCGGTGGTAGAAGAAACACTACAGACTCAAGACAGTAACAGCACAAAAGCTCAATGGACTACAGTCAGCCCAGAGAGCAGAAGTCGTGGCAGTGATAGAAGCCCTGAAAGCAGGTAAAGACCAAGACATTAACATTTACACAGACTCAGCCTATGCAGTACACGCAGCACAAATAGACCTAGGACAATGGATGTGAGCAGGCTACCTAACTGCAAAACAAGAACCCATTAAACACATGGATGAAATGAAAGAGCGCACGAAAGCACTGTGGTTTCCCCAGAAGGTAGCCATCATCAAATGCAAAGGACACGACAACAGCGGATCCAGAGTTGCCATGGGCAACCAACCAAAGCAGCTGCAGGATATTATGAGAAGTTCCTGTTGGTAGGACCAGACACAGAAACACAAATGACAAAACTGTCCCTTTCAGAAATCTCAAAAGAACAGAACCTAGCCTCACCTGAAGAGAAGACAATGTGGAAACCCAGAGGCGCAGTCCTATCAGAAGGGACCTGGAGATCCCCAGACAGAAGGTGGGTTCTGCCACCTGGACTCAAAGACAGTATCTTCTCAGAAGCACATGGAGTTGGCCATGCAGGCATCTCCCAGATGAAAGTGGACCTCAAAGAATGGTGGCACCCCTTCCTACATGACATGCTAAAGGAGTGGGTAAGACACTGCACCGTTTGCACACACCACAACACCAGACCTACATACAAGCCGGGGTGGGTAAGTTCCAACTAAAAACACGGCCAGGGAAAGAAATCATCATTGATTTTACAGATATGGTTAACTCAGTCTGAGGGTACAGGTATGTGTGTTGACGCATTTACGGGATGGCCAGAAGCATGGCCGGTGAAAAGAGAGGATAGCAAGTCAGTAAGTAAGTGTCTCATTAACCATTACATCCCACAGCATGGCTTCCCAGAAAAGATCAGGTCGGACAATGGGTCACACTTCAAGAATCAGGGCCTCCAGTACGTGGAGGCCACGTTGGGACTCAAACATGGTTTTGGGTCTGTGTATCATCCTCAATCTCAGGGTAAGGTTGAGAGGATGAACCAGACAGTCAAGAACAGGCTGTCAAAGATTTGCGCCCATACAGGGCTGAAGTGGGTGGATGCCCTACCGCTCGCCCTCATGTCCATCCGATCCTTAGTAAACAGGACAACTGGACACACTCCATTCAAGCTCGATCATGGTCGACCTTTTCCGGGGCCGGGGCGAGCCCTGCAAAACACTGACCCTCCTCCCTCTCACATGCACCAGAAAGATTATTATGAACAACTGCAATCTGTTTTCTCTGAATTTGCAGGTGCGAGACATCAAAGACGGTACCAAAGACGGTGACCTACCCATCACTGACTGGGTCCTCCTCCGGGTCATCAAGAGAAAGTGGAACCAGCCTAGGTGGACAGGACCATTCCGGGTGACCGAAAGAACCTCCCACGCAGTCCGGCTGGACGGGAAAGGAGACAACTGGTTCCACCTCACTTAGTGCGCCCCAGCGATAGAACCTCAACGCTCCCTGAAGGAAGTGCAGCAGGACCTTGCAGCGGCTGCAGCAGGAGACCAAGCTGAAGAACCACACACCTCCAGAGAGGACACAGGGCAGAATAATCCCTGCATCGAAAAGGGCACAGGGTCAGAGCCGGATTAACCATGAGGCATAGTGAGGCTGAAGCCTCAGGGCGTTTGGCTATGGTGGGCCACTCAGCCCGAGCAAAAGCCGCTATGACGCTGAGCTGTGCCTGGTGTGAGGAGGATGCAGCACACAGCAACAGCAGCAGGTTAATTAGAGAGAGCGACACAAAGTTTTCGCCATGTCTGGCAGCGGCGGAAAAAAACGAGAGGAATAAAAAAATGAAGAGAAGGAGAAGCGAGAGGCTAAGCTCCGGAAAAGCATGCCTCGTCTGACCAGCTACTTCACAACAAAAACTTTGCTAGCGACGGCCCCTCCGGGCCCCGGGGGCTCGTCTCCCTCCTCCCCCTCCTCTGAATCGGACGCTGAGGCGAATATCCGACGCGGCCAAAGTAAGTAATATGGCCATGTTCTCATTAGCCTTTAGCCTATATTTGCGTCATCATATATTTATATATTGAGACTGACTAGCCTACTTTTGTGTCATTTTGACAAAGCGTACAGGCGTAAGGTGAATTTTCACCTTAGGGGGCGCTATGGAGCCATTTTGCATTTTATTGTTTGGGCGACTTCAGAATATCAAATTTTTCACCAGGCCCGGTCGTCCTGCCAAATTTCATGAGTTTTCGCCAGTGGGAAGTGGGATTTATTCCCCTTTAAAGAGGAGGGAAAATTTAGAAAGAAGAACCCATCAAGGAACAAGAGGGCTCTCGCAGCTGCTTAGCAGCTACGCTCGGGCCCTAACTAGGGCCCCGTTGGGGCACTGTCGGGCCTGAGCCGCGCATTGACTTTTTCGTAGATCTTATTGAGATACACGTGATTGTCAAATTTTGTGTCAATATGACAAAGCGTACAGGCGTGACACTCAACAATGTGTATTTCCACCTTACGGGACAAGAAAAAAAGGACTTTTTTCTCCTGCCATGGGGGGGCGCTCTTTTGGGGAGTAAAAATTTCTTCACAAATGTGTTGATGGCTGGACATTGCATCATCCTAGAAAACTTGGAGGCCAGTGAGGACAAAAATAAAAAGTTATGACTTTTAAGAATGTGGATTTTTGGGTTATCTTTGGCGCCCCCTAGAACCTAAACCGTGGGGTGCAGCGTCATGATTTGTACAACTTTTAATGGCCATGGGGTGTAGATTGGCTTGAGCAAATTTGGTGCCGGTGGAACGAAAGCCTTCGGAGGAGTTAGCGAAATTCCAATGTGTGCAGATCGGCAAAAAAGGCGAAATAGCCCTTTAACCGTACATTTGACAGATACGCCCGCACTGACCTTTTTGTAGATCTTTTTGAGATACACCTGTGTGTCAAATTTTGTGTCATTTTGACAAAGCGTACAGGCGTGACACTCAATAGTGTGAAATTTCACCTTAGGGGGCGCTATGGAGCCATTTTGCATTTTATTGTTTGGGCGACTTCAGATTATCAAATTTTTCACCAGGCCCGGTCGTCCTGCCAAATTTCATGAGTTTTCGACAGTGGGAAGTGGGCCATTTTCCCCTTCAAAGGGGAGGAAAAATAAGAAAGAAAGAAGAACCTATATAGGAACAATAGGGCCTGTCGGGCCCGAGCTGTGTCGCGCCCCCCCAACGCGATCGCCTCCCTGTCCCATTCGGTTCTCTGGCCATCGCCCTCTCTGGTAACGCCCATCACTGCAAAGACCCTTTTCCTTCATCAGCGTTTGCTGTTCTTCCCGCCAGTGCGTGTTGCTTTCACTTACACTTGCCACAGCCAGCCTCGTGAGTGCCTGGCCTGGTTTGACCTTTGCTCACCATGATTGTGTGACCTTGGTATCGGCTACTTGGGAAGTTCCACCGTCGTGGCAAAGCTTTGTTTGCGTGCTGTGCTCAACCATCTATTTTCTATGGATGTGTAAGTAAACCACTTTCTTTCTTACACAATGACACACTCATACTTATCATTCACTGCTACTGATGTGCTCTGTTAGTATGCATGCAGGAAACCTGATGAATGAAAAAATGCCCAGACTAGCCAACATCTTAATAAATTATGAGGTATGACATCACTTGAATGGTTTCATTGGACTATGCTTCCATTATTCTAATTCTGTAATAAAAAGAAATTTTGTCCAAAAGGACTGTTGTTGCTTTTTCTTCTAATAATTAACATATTTAACATAATTAACATTCAATATGCGCTCATTACACACGTGCACACTCTTTGATGATCTGAGAAGCAGAGCTTAAAGGACAGTAGGAGCAGCTGAACAAAGTGTATTTGTAGGAAAGCCGTAAGAGCTATCGAAATGCCATTTTTGCAGGTTGAAAGGTTAGGGTCTCCACCAAAGGTCAGAGGTCAAATGACATTTGTATCTCAAACTGTGACGTCACAGTCAAGGTCCAAAGATGGTGTGCGCACCTGTCTTTGGTCATTTCCCATTATAATGAATGGGAGGCGCAGTTTCTACCAAAACGCTCGCTGCAGACAAACTACATGTCCTATTTGAAAAACCTCTGGACCATGAGTGAGGGCACAAACACAGCTAGGATATATCCAAATGGCAAGTTGCTCCTCCTTTCGGTTTTAGCGGGAGAGCAATGCGTTTGAGCCATTGAGCGATGGGCTGGAAAAACTTGACTTTTTCTCCTGCCATGGGGGGGCGCTCTTTTGGGGAGAAAAAATTCCTTCACAGATGTGTTGATGGCTGGACATTGCATCATCCTAGAAAACTTGGAGGCCAGTGAGGACAAAAATAAAAAGTTATAACACTTTTAAGAATGTGGATATATGGGTCATCTTTGGCGCCCCCTAGAACGTTAACCGTGGGGTGCAGCGTCATGATTTGTACAACTTTGAATGGTCATGGGTTGTAGATTGGCCTGAGCAAATTTGGTGCCGGTGGGATGAAAGCCCTAGGAGGAGTTAGCCACATTCTAATGTGTGCGAATCCGCAAAAAAATGCAAAATAGCCCTTTAACCGTACATTTGACAGATACGCGCGCATTGACTTTTTTGTAGATCTTATTGAGATACACTTGATTGTCAAATTTTGTGTCAATATGACAAAGCGTACAGGCGTGACACTCAATAATGTGAATTTTTCACCTTAGGGGGCGCTATGGAGCCACTTTGCATTTTATTGTTTGGGCGACTTCAGAATATCGAATTTTTCACCAGGCCCGGTCGTCCTGCCAAATTTCATGAGTTTTCGCCAGTGGGAAGTGGGCCATTTTCCCCTTCAAAGGGGAGGAAAAATAAGAAGAAAGAAAGAAGAAAGAAGAACCCATCAAGGAACAAGAGGGCTCTCGCAGCTGCTTAACAGCTACGCTCGGGCCCTAATAATGAAAGAAAGAAGAACCCATCGAAAAACAAGAGGGCCTATGCCCGGCTGCGTTGCAGCTGGCTCGGGCCCTAATCAAACAATATCAAGTTGAGTAAGTACAAAAAATCCTGTGAATCCAAGAGCAAGATAGCAAGATAGCTTCATAATATTTCCTTGACTTGGCTTTTTGTTGGTTTGGCCCACCGTCATCTAGGCATGCTGTATTGCTGGCTTCAGCTTTTCTTTTCATTCCTGTCAAATATCTCTCCATTCTGTACTTTTATATACAATTTATTATTCTGATCTGAACACAGTTGCTGGTTGTTACGGTGACAGGTGAAAGCGTGGGTTGTCTGCCGCAAAAAAAATTCCGACGTCCAAACATTGGTTCCGCAGCACGGACTCTGCACAACGCGAAACGGAGCAACTTCGGCTCCTCTCAGAGCTCTCCACAGCGAGAGGAGTGGAGCAGCTGCTGGCATAGCACAGCGTCAGTGGTTATCTCCGTCCTGGTTTCTGAGCTAGTTCCCACCATGAATAAGCACAGCAGAAAGCGTCTTTGTACGCTTTCAGGAGGCCATTGTACAGGTGGGGATAGCAGCATACTTAACAGGTGTTATGCCGTAGAATGCACCCCTGCCGTAGATTGCACCCCCTGCATCCCCTCCACTTGTTAGATTCTTAAAGTGGAAGAAAATGATCTCATATTTTTAAAAATACGACTATTTGATCGGGACAACTTTGGTTCTGTTTTTATGTGTCTCAAAAGTGCACATACGGAGGTGTGCTTGGGTACATAAACTGTACAGTAAGCTGTCAAGCTAGCGAAAATTATATTTTCGGGACAGCAAATATTCTAAATCAGAGTGCTATTTTTTCGGCTTATCTGAATAGCCTGAATGAAATTATTAAAGGCAGACGCTTTTGAATTCATCCAATGGTAAGGAAAACTTGAATTATTTTCGCCTTGTTAAGTACTTTCAACCGCGCTCCCGTCGGGGGGGCAATTTACGGCAGGGGTGCATTCTACGGCACAACATCCGACAAGTATCTCGCCTTGAGCATCCACCAAAACAAACGCTGCTTCTTCGCAGTAAAATAAAGAAACAGGGTTTAGGGTGTTGGACTCCCCCTACTGGTGTGGCGAGTTCAGTATGGCGCATGCATGACGAGCGCGGTGCCTGCACAGGAGGTGCCGCGCTAATGCGGGTGCACACCAACCTATTTGTAGCCGGGTGACTCGCGCCCCCCCAGGGATGGCTCCGCGCCCCCCTAGGGGGGCGGGCCACACACTTTGAGAAACGCTGCCCTAGCCCCGTAACCCAATATTCGGGTATTACCGAAAGGAAGCCCTAACACCCCAAACTTTTTTTTTTCATTTTACCTAAAGGAATCCCTAACACCCCAAACATTTTTTTTCGGTTTTCAAATTTTTTTGGTCAACCTTACTCCAAAAGGTCTGAAACATGTTCCTAAAAAGTTTTTGGACTGTGATTTTAACCCTAACGCCAAAAACCTTAAACCTTACCCTAGCCCCGTAACCCAATACTCGGGTATTACCTAAAGGAAGCCCTAACACCCCAAACATTTTTTTTTCATTTTGTTTTTTTTTTTGTCGAACTAACTCCAAAACGTCTAAAACATGTTCTTAAAATAATTGGAAAGTGATATTTACCCTAACCCCAAAAACCTTTAACCTTACCCTAGCCCCGTAACCCAATACCCTGGTATTACCTAAAGGAAGCCCGAACACCCCAAACATTATTTTTCATTTTTCGATTTTTTTGGTCTAACTAACTCCAGAAGGTCTGAAACATGTTCCTAAAAAGGTTTTGGACTGTGATTTTAACCCTAACGCCAAAAACCTTAAACCTTGCCCTACCCCCGAAACCCAATACCCGGGTATTACCTTCAGGAAGCCCTAACACCCCAAACATTTTTTTTTCATTTTACATTTTTATTTTGGTCTAACTAACTCCAAAAGATCTGAAACATGTTCCTAAAAAGGTTTTGGACAGTGATTTTAACCCTAACACCAAAAACCTTAAACCTTACCCTAGCCCCGTAACCCAATATTCGGGTATTACCTAAAGGAAGCCCTAAAACCCCAAACTTTTTTTTTCATTTTTCAGTTTTTTTTTTGTCGGACTAACTCCAAAAGGTCTGAAACATGTTCCTAAAAAAATGTTTTGGACATTGATTTTAACCCTAACCCCAAAAACCTTAAAACCTTGCCCCAGCCCCGTAACCTAATACCCGGGTATTACCTTTAGGAAGCCCTAACACCCCAAACATTTTTTTTTTCATTTTACTTTTTTTTTTTGGTCTAACTCCAAAAGGTCTGAAACATGTTCCCAAAAATGTTTTGGACAGTGATTTTAACCCTAACGCCAAAAACCTTAAACCTTACCCTACCGCCGTAACCCAATACCCGGGTACCAACTAAAGGAAGCCCTAACACCCCAAACATTTTTTTTTCAGTTTTCAGTTTTTTTTGGTCTAACTAACTCCAAAAGGTCTGAAACATGTTCCTAAAAAGGTTTTGGACATTGATTTTAACCCTAATGCCAAAAACCTTAAACCTTACCCTAGCCCTGTAACCTAATACATGGGTATTACCTAAAAAAAAGCCCTTACACCCCAAACATTTTTTTTGTCATTTTTCAGTTTTTTTTGTGTAACTAAGGCCAAAATGTCTAAAACATGTTCCTAAAAATATTGGACAGTGATTTTAACCCTAACCCCAAAAACCTTTAACCTTACCCTAGCCCTGTAACCTAAGGAAGCCCTGACACCCCAAACATTTTTTGTGATTTTTCAGTTTTTTTTGTCTTACTAACTCCAAAAGGTCTGAAACATGTTCCTAAAAAATATTGGACAGTGATTTTAACCCTTACCCCAAAAACCTTTAACCTTACCCTAGCCCCGTAACCTAAGGAAGCCCTAACACCCCAAACATTTTTTGTGATTTTTCAGTTTTTTTTGTTTTACTAACTCCAAAAGGTCTGAAACATGTTCCTAAAAAATATTGGACAGTGATTTTAACCCTAACCCCAAAAACCTTAAACCTTACCCTAGCCCCGTAACCTAATACCCGGGTATTACCTTCAGGAAGCCCTACCACCCCAAACATTTTTTTTTCATTTTACATTGTTTTTTGGTCTTACTAACTCCAAAAGGTCTGAAACATGTTCGTAAAAAGGTTTTGGACATTGATTTTAACCCTAATGCCAAAAACCTTAAACCTGACCCTAGCTCCAGAACCTTAAGGGTATTACCTTAAGAAAGCCCGAACACCCCAAACATTTTTTTTTCATTTTTCAGTTTTTTTTGGTCTAACTAATTCCAAAAGGTCTGAAACATGTTCCTAAAAATGTTTTGGACAGTGATTTTAACCCTAAACTCAAAAACCTTAAACCTTACCCTAGCCCCAAAACCAAATACCCCAGTATTACCCAAAGGAAGCCCTAACACCCCAAACATTTTTTTTTTCATTTTACATTGTTTTTTGGTCTTACTAACTCCAAAAGGTCTAAAACATGTTCCTAAACAGGTTTTGGAAAGTGATTTTAACCTTAACGCCAAAAACCTGAAACCTGACCCTAGCCCCAGAACCTAATACCCGGGTATTACCTTAAGAAAGCCCAAACACCCCCCAAATTTTTTTTTTCATTTTTTAGTTTTTTTTTTGGTTTAACTAACTCCAAAAGGTCTGAAACATGTTCCTAAAGAGGTCTTCAACAGTGATTTTAACCCTTAGCTCAAAAACCTTAAACCTTACCCTAGCCCCGTAACCTAATACCCGGGTATTACCTTAAGGAAGCCTGAACACCCCAAACATTTTTTTTTTCATTTTTCGTTTTTTTTTCGGTCTAACTAACACCAAAAGGTCTGAAACATGATCCTGAAAAAGGTTTTTGACAGTGATTTTAACCTTACCCCAAAAGCCTTAAACCTGACCCTAGCCCTGTAACCCAATACCTGGGTACTACCTTCAGGAAGCCCAAACACCCCAAACATTTTTTTTTCATTTTTCAATTTTTTTTGGTCTAACTCAAAAAAGATCTGAAACATGTTCCTAAAAAGGTTTGGGACAGTGATTTTAACTCTTAGCTCAAAAACCTTAAACCTTACCCTAGCCCCGTAACCCAATACCCGGGTATTACCTAAAGGAAGCCCTAACACCCCAAACATTTTTTTTTTCATTTTTCGTTTTTATTTGTCTAACTAACTCCAAAAGGTCTGAAACATGTTCCTAAAAAGGTTTTGGACAGTAGTTTTAACCCTATCACCAAAAACCTTAAACCTTACCCTAGCCCCGTAACCCAATACCCGGTATTACCTTAAGAAAGCCCTAACACCCCAAATTTTTTTTTTTCATTTTTCAGTTTTTTTTTGGTCTAACTCCAAAAGGTCTGAAAAATGTTCCTAAAAAGAGATTTGACAGTGATTTTAACCCTAACTTAAAAAACCTTAAACCTGACCCTAGCCCCGTAACCCAATACCTGGGTATTGCCCAAAGGAAGCCCTAACACCCCAAACATTTTTTTTTCATTTTACATCTTTTTTATCGGTCTAACTAACTCCAAAAGGTCTGAAACATGTACCTGTGGGTCGGGACCCAAACGGGGTCCATGACAATTAGTTTTATGTTAAACTCCCATGTAATAAAAGATAAATTATAGCAGATGGGTAACTGCAGGACAACACACAGGATACACACAGATCCGTGTGGCGCACAGGGATCTGTTAGGAGATTATCTTATTCATTTATAAATGTTATGTGAATACATGTTAACAATAAACATTATTTATTTTTTGTCTTTATAGATTTTCTCAGGGGCTAGGGCTGCGGCAGATGGACATGCTAGATGACACCATTGCGGGCAGCTCAGCAACCCTGAGCAAAATGGCCAAACGATTAAGGGGAGTGTGTGTAACAGCACTGAAAAAAATGAGAAGACGTACAAGTCAGAGGATGGGTGGCAGACGGGAGTTTGTCGCCATCGATGAGAGCCATTTTCGGCACAAACGAAAGGTGTGTAATACTAATATTTACTTCTCATGATTATGAAATACAGTCAACCGATGTTTTGTATTTGTTCATACTGTACCTAATCTGTTTACATATTTTTTTTGTTTCTGCATCAGTACGGGAGAGGAAGAATGACTGGTTCCTGGAACTGGAAAAAATGGGTCTTTGGGATGCTTGGTGTAAAGGAGAACTCTCGAAGGCTAATTCTTACGCCTGGTAGAGCGGAGAAACCGAGCACATCTGGTGCCTCTGATCACCCAACATGTGTGGGGTGGGTCCAACATCATCAGTGATGAGTGGCACGCTTACCGTGTGCTCCCTGCATATGTGCACCACACGGTAAATCAAAGCAGGTCCTACGTTGACCCCCTTACTGAAGCCCATACCCATCATATCGAAAGGGCCTGGAGAACTTACAAAGAGAAGATTTGGAGGCTCAGGGGAAACCGAACAAAAACTTTGCTTCAAGACCACCTTGCAGTCATTGAGTGGACTGATTGGCTTGCCAAAAAGCACCATCATGGTGCATTTGGTAGGTTAATTCATGACGTTTCAAGAAAATACAGGTAGTGTGTTGTTTTTTGGCAAGCCATTCAGTCCACATAGTCATTGTGTGTGTGTGTGTGTGTGTGTGTGCGTGCGTGCGTACATGCGTGCGTGCATGCAAGAGGGAGGAAAAAGGAGGAAGAAGAGCGGGTGTGTGTGAAGGCTTTGAGGGTTGACAGAAAATAAGTAATTTTTGTGATGAAGTACTCCTTGGGCGAGTTTACTTGAAATTTTAAGGATTGCAAAGTGTGTATTTAAAAGAGCTTGTATTTTATTATTCTATTTTATGCGATTAGCTTCGGACAGTGAAGACTTTGTGGGTTGACATAAAATAAGTCAAGTTTACCTGAAATTCTATAGATTGTATTGTATATCTTTGCTTCTGTGTCATTTATAAATGCTTTATAAATGCTTTATAACGCATAGATAGTCCTCACTTTAGATGGGCTCACAGAAGATACTTAACTAATGGGTAACTAATGAGTAGTAACTGCATTAATAAGCATTAATAAGTTATTCATTGAGTATGAATACATGTTTGTAAAACATATACTAACACAGTTGCTAACCCTTTATAAAGTATTAACAACTTTGGTTATCAATAAGCAACAAAACATTTATAACTGGGTTTATTAAGTGCTTAGTAATGCATAATAAATGTTATACAGATCATGAATTCATGATTAATTAAGCATTAACTAATGTTAAACTACTGCTTAAGTAATTATAAATGGGTTTGAGTTTAAAACGTTTATAATGGTGTTTACTAATGCTTAGTAATATATAACTAATTATTTACAAATGATGAGTTAACGATGAATTAAGTACTTTGCTAATGTTTAACTAATGCTTAATAATGTGTTAGTTGAACATTTAAAACTGTCTTTACTAATACTTTGTAATGCATTACTAATGTTGAATTAATGGTTAATTCCCGAAAAATTAAGGATTTACTAATGCTTAACTAATGCTTAGTAATGTATTAGTTAAACATTTATTACTAATGCTTTCTAATGCATTACTAATGATGAATTCATGATAAGTTCATGAGGAATTAAGGATTAACTAATGCTTAAATTATGCTTAAAGGGGACCTGCCACCAAAATTTCATACCCATTTTTAACAATTTTTCATAATCCTTGATGTCCTCTGATCATGTTTGCAACATAATTTTAGCTGAAAAGTTATTTGATGGTTTGTCTTAGTATGCCTAAAAAACCTTACAGGAAAACCAACTGGTTTTGGCTCATTAACATTTATGGTAATGAGCTTTGCTCTGATTGGATCGCTGCTGTGAAGCCTGCTGTGCTCTGATTGGCTCAGCAGTGGAGGTTCGGATTTCGGTTTATCCACTGTTATTATGCTAATGCTAATAGCATATGCTAATGTGTGCTAAAGTAAGGTGCCCAGATGTCTGTAATGATATCCGGGGATATTCGGTGCGGCGGCGGTGGTGCAGGGGCTGCAGGGGCTGTGTGATCACAGACAAAGTCTCGGTACTATTTAGTAGCAGCGCATGCCCCTTGTAATAACCCCCGTAAGAACTGTTGTTCAGGACTGCTAACTAAATTCGGCTACTGTAATAACCGTTGTTCGAGCCCACACGCAACATTTTTGCTCTCATTAATGAAACGCTTAAACCGGGGACATTTTCGGGGACAGCTTTTGCCGGGGACAGATCATCCAATACGGGGACTGTCCCCGGAAATCGGGGACGTCTGGTCACCTTATGCTAAAGGCTAAAAACGGCAGGTATTAAACCATATATTTTAGACCCCGAGTCCGAAGAGGAGGTGGAAGTTGAGGAAGAAGCCGGAGATCTCCAGCGGTGTTTTCTCATTCATTCTGCCCGGCTTTAAGTTCCTTTTCCCGGCAGTGAACCGAAGGAAACACCGATATTGAAGTTTTCATTTTATTTTTATTGTATTATATACAAATGACAATGCAATTCTTCTGACATCCATAACTGGTATAACGTGTGTATCCGAGTATCCAAACATTCAAACCAAGGCCTTAAAAACAGCCACACCATTTCAATGAAAAGAAAATGCAAGAAATCCAAAAACAGCAGACAGTCAGCTCAGGCTGTATGAGCACATGATCTCTGAACTCACTAAAATCTGTAAACCAAACATTATAGATTTAGAGACAACTGATCCGCTCTGCTACAACAATGAAAAACATTAGAAATAAGAAAGCTGACAAAACTACAGCAGAGTATCAGGACAACATTGAGTTTTTTTTTTCTTTTAAGATTTAGAGATTAAAGTTGTAAATTTAGGAGAATAAAGTTATAAAGTAAATAAAGTCATAAAGCTGCTTTGGTGGAGGGGGAAATGACTGAAGCTGGTCATCTGCAGGGTTATCTGTGGATGTATCAGTGGGTCATTTAGAGAGTTTTTGTGGTTTCTGAAGAAACAATCAAACTGATGATCAACATTTGTGATCCAGAGGGAGTCGAGCTCCGACAAGCACCACGTCTCTGACACTGGCGGTAACCTACTCCTGCAGAGACACCAACACCTTATTATGGCATATGGATTCATATCATAAACTAAAGCTCAATGTCATTCACAGATATTTACGGCTGCATAAACGGATATATCCTCAGCATATTAATTTACAAAAGCAGCGATTTCCTTCAACGCGCTTAGCATTTCTTAGCATTTCGTGCCAAATGGGACACCGTTCGTGCCGCGTGATGACATCATGCACGCTTCAAATGTGCTGTTCGACTATGCGGTCTCTGAAATGGGACACAGCCATAGTTCTGTCTGCCAGATAGGACCCAAACCACTCCAGAGCACTACCACAAATGCCCACAAGGTGCTGCAGCCGAGTTACTGAAATATTGTGGTCCACTGTATCAAATGCTGCAAGTACAGTAGGACAAGAATAACATTGTCCCCAGAAACATTTGCCAGGAGGATGTCATTAAAAACCCTTTTTAAAGCAGATTCAGTGCTGTGTGGGGTTTAAAAACCTGAATGAAAGACCTCCAAATTATAATGTTCATCCAGATATGATTCAAGTTGTGTATGACGTTTTTCTGTAAGATTTTTGAGGTAAATGGCAGCTTTGAGATGAGCCTGAAATTAGCTAGTATAGTGCAATGGATGCCGGGTTTTCTAAGTAGTGGTTGCACTTCTGCATGTTTGAAACTTGCAGGTACAACATCAGAAAGGACATCCTGCCAGAAAATGCACCCCACCATAAATCCATTTCTGTTGGGCCCTGCATCACATGATTTTTACAGTATACAGAGGGGACTAGGAGGAGTAACCAGGGTGAGTTTCATGGCCCTCTGACCTTCCTAGCCAGAGATAGACAGGGGGTGCAGTCTCAGGCAGTTAGCACAGACATCCTGCCAGATAATGCACCCCCACCATCAATGCATTTCTATTGGATCCTGCATCACATGATTTTTACAGTATACAATGGGGACTAGGAGGAGTAACCATGGTGAGTTTCATGGCTCTCTGACCTTCCTAGCCAGAGATAGACAGGAGGTGCAGTCTCAGGCAGTTAGCACAGACATCCTGCCGGATAATGCACCCCCACCATAAATGCATTTCTGTTGGACCCTGCGACACATGATTTTTACTGTATTAAAAGAGGATAAGTATGAGTAAGTAGGGTGAGTTTTATGGCCTTCTGACCTTCCTAGCAAGAGATAGACAGGGGGTACATCTCTGAGCAATGGCCTCAACAGCCTGCCATGAAATGTATTGTCCTTACATTGTACCTCAGCATCAGGCACATTTAATTGGATACCCTTGGTGCCAAACTTTGTGTACGTTCAAATTTGACGCTTCTGAAAACCAAATTGTCATCTGTCGATATCTGAATCATTCATTTATTTATTTGTTTATCCATCCACTCATGAGCTTCTTAAAGTGGAAAATGATCTTATATAAAAAAAACACAAGTATTGAATCATGACAACGTGTCAAATATAATATCTCTCAAAAATGTACACATATAAGAGTACTTGGGTATACAGTGCCATGAGAAAGTTTGGGCACCCTTGACAAATCTCAGTATTTTCATTCATCAATCATTGGGTGTTTGATTCCACAACTTACTTTTGATATATGAAATAACTCATAGACCCAATAATATTTCAGCATTGAAGTAAAGTTTATTGGGCTAACAGAAAATGTGCAATATGCACCAAAGCAAAAATAGGCCCATGCATAAATTTGGGCACCTTAACAGAAACATCACATCAATATTTAGTAGAGCCTCCTTTTGCAGAAATCACAGCCTCTAGACGCTTTCTATAGCCACTAATGAGTGTCTGGATCCTGGATAAAGGCATCTTGGCCCACTCCTCCTTGCAAAACAGCTCTAATTCATTGAGGTTTGAAGGTCCACGAGCATGGACGGCTTGCTTCAACTCATCCCACAGATTTTCAATGATATTCAAATCTGGGGACTGGGATGGCCATTCTAAAACACTGTACTTGTTCCTCTGCATGTATGCCCGAGTGGATTTTGAACAATGTTTAGGGTCATTGTCTTGTTGAAACATCCATCCCCGGCGCAACTTCAGCTTTGTGACGGACTCCTGCACATTATTTTCAAGAATTTGCTGATACTGAGTGGAATCCATGCGACCGTCAATTTTAACAAGGTTCCCAGTACCAGTACTCGCCACACAGCCCCACAACATGATGGAACCTCCACCAAATTTCACTGTGGGTAGCAGATGTTTTTCTTGGAATTCTGTGTTCTTTTTTCGCCATGTGTATCGCCTCTTGTTGTGACCAAATAATTCGATTTTTGTTTCGTCAGTCCACAGGATCTTATTCCAAAAGGATGCTGGCTTGTCCAAATGTGCTTTTGCATAGTTCAAGCGACTCAATTTGTGGCGACTGTGAAGAAAGGGCTTCTTACGCATCACTCTGCCATACAGCATTTCCTTATGCAAATTGCGCTGTATTGTTGACCTGTGCACAGTGACCCCATCTGC